ACCCCCCCCCCCCCCCTACTTCTAGCTGCACCCTTACTATAAATATGACATTCTGCTGCAGATTGATATCACCAATGCTGTGATTGCACTTAAGGCGAGCTTTTAAAACGCGGGCGTTTTTATTGAGCCGTTTCTTCCGTTCGAGGAAACATCCTCGCCCTTGGTATGTGCTGGAAAGAATTTGAACTCAGACTACACTCAACAATGACAAGGGCAAAAATGTGCATGCGACATTTAATTTTGCTCAATTTTCTCTTATTCCAATAATCTTGTGAGCATCACTCAATTAGTCCCACTTCCCTGACTTAAAAAATGTTTATAATACAAACTGAAGCACCGATGTAAAAACTGTCATGGCAAACCTAGAGAGAATATATATATTTTATCAAGGAAATATTTGCTTATGATATTGTCAAACGTGGAAACCTTGTTTTGTCATTACAGATATTCACATATTTGTCTGAACGCATTTCTTTTAAATTAAAATTTGCACTCGTTACGTTAAAATTTACAAAGCAAAATATGATGTGAAAAACATATTATTATTGTGTTAAAGTAACTTTACAAGGTTTAAATAAGAATGACAAAAATTCTTCGTTAAGTAAAAATTTTCCAATAAAAATATGATGTTAAATACAAGTTAATATGTGTTAAATTAACTTCGCAAAGTTTAAATCAGAAAGACAAAAATTAGTAATTTGCGTTTGTGTTAGCTCAAGATATACAAACTAAATAACGCGTAGCATTTATTTTCATTTGACCAGAAATGGCCATACAATTTGACTCCGACTTGCAACATATTTTAAAGAAATGTTTGATTTTAACAATAAAAAATACAGCTGTTGTTGAATATATATTTTACGCTATCATACTCCTTTTACAAACTCACCTTAGTCCTCTTGGTGACGCGTTTTTCTTCGGTTTCCGACAAATCTTTGGTCTGCAGCCGTGCACGTCTAACTTAATGTCCTGCCCCTGTTCTTCTCGCAATTTTTTCTTTTTATAGAACACGTTCTCACCATACGGAGCAAATGCCCACTTAAATGATCGTCTAGCCATTTCTTACTCAGTTTCTTGGCTTAGACTCTAAAATATTTTAAGCCCTTAACTTCATGACTAATGTGTGTGAAATCAGTATTTATATATATATACACATAGTGATATATCACTAGCTATGTTTAAAACGTGAGTACGTTACTGTTGGCCGGGTCTCTAGTGTTTGTCATTGAGGAAAAGATAGATGTTGTACTATAATGCGTGTATTTGGTTGTCTGACGACCGCGTCTCTGTCTGTCTTGTGCAGTGTTTTCTTTAAACTTATATTCTTTACTAGTAGATGATTCTTAATTATCATAAGTAACTCTTAATTTAAGAATTTTAACAAGCTATCTGTATTTTTTAGATTGTCTTTTAAGCTCCTAGTTTGTCATTTTAAAAATCTAAATTGATTGTTAAAGGATTTGCGTCAGTCCGTCAGAATGGCTTGAATGGCTTTTTCAGAAAATGTGCCCAATTAACGATATATTTATCAAAATACACAAATTGGAGACTCATTTTGTAAATTTTGATCCAATGATGTGACACCAGCGACACACGGCATACGGTTGTCAGGGCTTCTCCGTCACAACTGTCGCACCTTGGATTCTGCACTCCCAGGTTTTGAAACAAGACGAGGGTTTCAAGGGCATCGCATTTCTGTCTTTTGATGTCGCACAACAATGTTTTAATTATTTAAAATTTACGATTATTTACAATTTAATTAATGTCATGTATCAAGTTTAAACATATTGTCTCAATCGGGAATTCGAGTTCTGATAAACCTCAACACTGACGTTTAATGCCATCAACAGACATAATACTCAAAAGATCTAAAAAATAGCGTATTGACTCAAGTCAAAGACAACAATTGCAAGTCACCGTCATACAAATAATCATGTTACAGAAAGAGCATCTCTGCTTGACGGCGGAATTTCGAATGTCAGAAATTCCATGTTTACTTGTATTTAGAGTCCGGTTCTCATAGAGTAAAGGGAAAATTGTTTTCAGATAGTACTCGCATTTGCACCCCCTCCCAAACAACTTCCGTCTCTCCGATAGCATCAAATACTGAATTAACGTTCAGCACACGAATGGATCTCCATATCAACTTTTACCGCAAATAAATAAATAAATAAATAAATAAACAAAATTTTTCATACAAATCTTTTTCAGAAAACAAACGCAGAACATTATCTATTCACCTTAACTTTCGATTTTTCAATTTACATATTCATTCAACGAATTTGTGATGAGACTTTTGTTCTTCACAATACACCGTCCTTTAACTAGTAAATCAAAAACCAGACAGGTGAACTACCCTCTACCAGGGTCGCAGATTTTCTCCAACGCGAAAGAGAGCAGTAAAGTATCGTGCCGTGAATCAGCCAGACACGTTTGTGAATATCTACTGAAAACTCCCATCTGTGACCCTGGTTCGAACAAAAAAAAAAGTGAACATTTGAGTCTTGTCAGTGACGCAATGCTTAACATTACAGCACATTTATCCTCCAATATAAAAAGAATGCAACAGTAATTAAAATTATTATAAAACAGCTATGCAAATATTACACAAAGTGCGTGTCATGGGCTCACATGTCCACTTTTTTTGTTGAATAACCCAAATTGTAACTGTGATTTTTGACTCAACTCTAACACATTTCAAGAAAACAGTTATTTCACATAACCAATGCAGTAAAATCCAATTCAAATAAATTATTTGATGGAAGATATGTAAACGTGACTTATTTTATGATCATTTATCCTTAAAAGCGTTTTTGAACGTCTAATATTTCACTGGACAAATACAAATTGCTCACATATACCAAGTTCTAGCACTATACTTAATCAGCTTTTTCCCCACCAAAGCACCTCAGAGGGCAAAAACAGCATGGAACAAGCAAAACATTCTAAGATCTGCGAGACAACATATTACTGTTGTTCATAGTCCATAATTTTGAATTCATGTCTCAGGTCAAAGGTCATATGAAATCACGTGACTTCTCTGGGGTCAAAGATCACATGGTAAACTGTGTGAAGAACAGCAGGGGCAGAGAAAGCAACATGTCTGTGTTTCCAGTGAAAAATTTAACTTCAGGTGATAAGATCCATGACAGTCAGCAAATCAGACTGCTTCACTGAGCTGGTCAGCGATTCTGCTTTGTACTGCTCTCTTCAGGGCATTGCTGAGGACATTGACCTTTGACTCCACTCCCAGCTCTGTGTAAGGAATCTGGAATAGAGAAATGAGGTGTCGATCTGGTTAATTTCTTTCGATGTGTGTGTGTGTGTGTGTGTGTGTGTGTGTGTGTGTGTGTATATATATATATATAATTTTTTATAATTTTTTTTTTGAAGTCAAAGTCATACTGGTAAATACATGTATGCCTTGTAAATGCATACTACTACACATCACAGATTTGCTCCAATTCTCTTATATACTCTCAGATGCACTGTTGCACAGTCATTCATCAACATATAGAGAAGCATGTGGGGGAATGGGACAAATACACACCAGTTAGCACAATCATATATATATATACTTGAGAGAGAGAGAGAGAGAGAGAGAGAGAGAGAGAGATGCACACACAAACACACAACTTTCTTTTTCTTATAATACTCACCTCTACCACTAAGTACCCCAGTTTCTCCAAGTGCCTGATTGTAAGTGCAAATGCTCCCACAGGCTGCACGTCTCCCAGCGTCATGAAAGGGAAATCCATCACAATGACTGCCACTCTGAACACAGATCAAGTACAATGCATGTTAGGAAATATGAAGGACATTTTTTTTGGCAGAAATGCTGCTAACTAGAGAGCAGACATCTTGAAATTAATGAAAATATATCTCACCCTCTGAAAAATTTAGTAAAATGTAATAATAACAATCAGAATAGTAATAATTACTGTAACCATAAAAATAACACTATTAAATACAGAAATTACTAGTAAAGACAAAGCAGCTCAGTTTTTATTATTATGCATTTAATAAATTATGATAATTTTAAATGCTCAATTGGCATTAGCAATTTGCTAATAAATCAACACCAAAATCTAAACTTTTGACCTATTTTGGAAATTAAATCAAAATCTATATTTTTTGCATTATGTTGCTCAAAGGCACATAGACTCAATCGACTGGTCACCACCAAAATTGAATAATTTTTTTATACATTCTCTTTTAAATAGTTTCTTAAATGTAATCAAAATCCGTCCACAACCTTTTGCATAATATTACACAGAGACAAACAAATAATTACCTAATTTGCCACTTACCGTTTATTTTAAATCGAAGAATTTATTACTTGGCCCCCTCCCAAAAAATTCTGAAAGTTTTTTTTTCAAATTCCATTCACAACTTTTTGAATAACGTTGCTAACAGAAAAAAAAAACAACTCCTACCTGAATACATCATCTGAGTGCTCTTTATCAAGAGGTTCATAAAAACCCTGCTGATTCAGAAGCAGCTCCACATCTGAAACACAAACAGGAAAATGATTTACAACTTAAAGGTAAAAATTATGTGTCATGTAGATAAACTTGCAAAATTAAAAATCGATAATGGAAAAAATGCCAGAACTAGTCAAGCACAAAATCCCAGAAGACTACTCACATATAATGCTTACATGCACTTTGTTGGAAAAAAAAAAAAAAAAAGAGCAGACCACTCACGGATCAAGTGGCCCGAGTCTAGGAACACATTCTCCTTGAAGCAGTCCTCACTGACAGCCTGGAGTTTTACCACCTTACTCAGTGCATGCACCAGGGAGACCTTGGGAATGGAGGGAGGCTAGAATAATAATAATAATAATAATAATAATAATAATAATAATAATAATTTTTTTATTTGTACAAATACATGTATAAAAAAGCCATTTTACATTTTCCTCAACTTGAGTAATTATTAAAATAATTATCAGTTCAGCCTTTTCCTGAAGAGTTTTACACGTTATGGCAATTATAGACACCTGCCAAATTACAAAGGGATGTAATTTGTTAGGTGGGGGGTGGGGGTGAAAATGGAGGATGTTGTGCAATTATCCCAGAAATAAAAAAAAACAAAAAAACAAAGTTAAAAAACAGAAAAATCACAACCTTGATTACAGCGCCATTGATCATATTACTATCAAAGATACTGTAGTACTGTAAGTAAGGGACATGATTATGCGGTTTATAATATTATCCAAAATAGGACTTAAAACAACTTATAATTTCTCTTTTTTAACTATAGGCATTTGTGCAAGATAGCTTTCATCCTGATATTTACGCCGTTAATTTGGGGGGAAGGGGGGGGGGGGGAGAGATATCTGAATAAAAAAATAAAAAAGTGTAACTTTTACCAAAAAACATTAGATCAAATTTTACCAAGAGCAGACCTTTTATTTTTATTTTTTGCCAAATCATTCATGATACTGCACCTTTTTAATTTTTTCAAAAATATGACAATATCTGGCTGGTATAAAAGGGCAGTTTTATGAAGACAAGACTGACAGTGACAAAGGGACACACCTTCACGTTATATCTGGTGATAAAATCCTCCGGCAGCAGCTCCCCTTCATACGTCCCCTCCATGTCCAAATTGGCGCTGGCATTTATCTGCAGTAACTTTCTGCAGGCCAAATTCTGCTGAACGCCAGCTGAAAAGAATCAGTCGCAGTGATGATGGCCCAGCCAGGCAGGGGGATGGTAATAAGAAACTATTATTTGTTAAATCAGTCAGATAAAAAGGATTGTCAATAATTATGAGCTTTATTTTTTAAAAATGATATTCAACAATATTATCTTCCGATTATTATTACAAATTTATCATAGGTCCCATTCAGAATAGGAGGCCAACCAGTCCAAGTGTCAAACATGGCCGACCCACTCAAATACTTCCCCATGGGATATCTATTCAGTGTCTATTAGCAGATTAGACGGCAAGCTTAGTAGTGGGTCGCCATATTTGACCCATGGACTAGTTAGTCCCCTATTCTGAATGGCCTTATATACTAAGAAACAAATACAGCATGGACCAGTGTGTACTATGAAAAATAGAGCCCAGTGAGAGTAAATAGGTCAAAGGGACCATTCAGAATGAGAGGAATGAGTGCTAACTGGTCCATGGCCTAAATATGGCGGACCTACATGAATGGAAGACCGCTTAATCCTGTAATGGACTCTCCACCTCTTACACGCCTCCCCACACATCCACCAGTCGAATAGACCCAAGATTTAATTACTGTGCCCCTGCAGGGACGACGCCTGGGGAGGTGTGTCAGAGGCGGGGAGTCCATTACAGGGTTAAGCGGTCTTCCTTTCATCTAAGTCTGCCATATTTAGGCCGTGGACCAGTTAGCAATCGGATCTTCTCACTCTGAATGGCCCCAAAGAAGTGAGTGAAAAAATCTAGCAATGTATTCTTGAAACCACAATTTAAAGATGTTGCCATAGTTGAAATTCTCAACATGATTAGTTGGGTATACCCCACAGATAAAAGAGAGTGCATAATAATTGGTTTTCTAAAATACTTAAAGTTAAATACTGCTTATGAATTACAAATACCCACAATATAATAAAATATATACATGTACATATATATATTTCCTTTCTAATAAATCCACCTCTAATAAATCAACAAAATAAATTCAAAAATATTTTATAATTATAGTAATAAAATAACTAATATTAAAATAAATAAAAAATAAATAAATAAAAAATAAAATCTTGATCAAAATCCCAATGTCCAACATGTTAAAGAATTTCCACTTACCATCTTTCTCCTCAAATGTCTTCAATAATGGTTCATAAAAACTTGGTGACAAGACGCTCTGTATCTGATCTGGGAGAGCCTTGTTCAAGATGACCAGTGACCATATCATGTCCAGCCAGACATGTTTGTGTTGAACTGGGGTGGTCTACAATATAATGGAGTCAATATGGTCAATTTTGCCATAATCTAGTAATTTATATTGGGGTTTCCCATGGGCTATGCAGACATGCTGAAACTGTCGGTCCGATCGGTCATGACCGGGAAATTTTGTCTGGACCGGTAAAAAATTGGACATGGTCGGTCCAAAGGACCTATAAGAGTTTTAAGAGCAGCAATTTTGAATTTACAGTCATAATTCGACATACTTCACTTATAAAATTATATAAAACCCAAAGCGTTTTTTCCCTTCCATTTCAAGCCTATATCACATTCACCAACAAAGTAAGCTACCCTAATCGTACTGGTAGTATCAGTCTTAAACGAATAGGGATTTTTGGTCCGACAAAAATCCATTCGGTCCAGCAAATTTTTCATTACTGCCGGTCCAAATGTCCGGTCATTCTGAAAAGTTTTCAGCATGTCTGGCTATGTATTGGACAATCTCACTGGATGTGTATGGGACATCCCACTGGATTTGAATTGAGGCATCACAGGGAATGTGTATTAGGATACCCCATAGAATGTGTTTTGGGGTGTCCTATAGGATATGTATTGGGGTGTTCTAAAGGACGTGTATTTAGGATACCCCACAGAATGTGTATTGGGGTGTCCTATAGGATATGTATTGGGGTGTTCTAAAGGAGGTGTATAAGGATACCCCACATAATGTGTTTTGGGGTGTCCTATAGGATATGTATTGGAGTGTTCTAAAGGATGTGTATTAGGATACCCCACATAATGTGTTTTGGGGTGTCCTATAGGTTATGTATTGGGGTGTTCTAAAGGATGTGTATTGGGGTGTCCTACAGGATTTTGTATTGGGGTGTTCTATTGGATGTGTATTGTGGTATCCTTCTGGGCAAAAATAAGCTGTCCTTTATATATTGCCATATAGTAATACATTGTATCTACTCCATTACAACTTAAAAACTTTGTCCAAGAAGAGCAAACAATAAAATAACATACAACCTTCTGTTAGTTTAAGTGTCTATTTACATTTCTTGAATTGCTGTGCAAAGGACCCTTCCCCTGTCAGACTCTGAGAGAGGACACTTAGCCTTTTAAAGGGCAATGGATGAAAAAAAAAGACAGCAGACAGTTTTGGTTGTTTTCAAAATAGAAATGTTCATCTGTCATCATAACTTACTTCAAAGTAGCTCCAAAACATTGGTTCGGATATCCAACTATATTCAGGAACGTAATTCAAATTAGCAAATGACAGTAACACATCTGCAAGTTTCTTTGGAAATGCGCGGCCTAAAACCATGTGTTTCTGGTCAATTTCACTGTCAATGAAGGCTAGCAGCATTGGGTCCCTGAGGCGTAGGTGTGACAATGAAGACAACAGTTCTAACACCTGAGCTGCACTCATGAACCGCTTGTTCCGCACGAGTACCTGGGCCAGCTTTTCTAATAGGTCGCCATTGTAAATATGTAACCTTGCTAGTGATTCAACCAATGAAACCACTTGTGCCACAGGCTTCTTCCGTACCTCCAGCTCTTCAAACCTATCCGCTAGAGAGGAACATATCATGTTTATGATAACTTTGTTACGATCTTGAACTGATGCCATGGACTGCATCAGAAGTGAGAACTCCCTGAACTGCATCTTTCCCAAGTTGGCTTTAATGACGGGTAGAAACATATCAATCAAGTCCGCATCACGGCTTCGCACCAGCAAGTGAAAAGTATCCTCTGGAGAGAGAACTCCAGATCTTAGCCTCTCCAGGGTCTGGGTCAATATTGATGAGCGTTCTTCGGAGACTGGGGAGTTAATGTACATTTGATACAAGTCTGCCAGTACAGCCACACTTAGACCATCTAAATTTTCAACTAACCAGTCTTTAACCTTGACCACTGATGGTATTTCTGAGGACTGCTCTAATTTACGCATCACCTAAACAGAATATGGAGAAAAAAACACACATTAAGTCTCAAAGTCAAAAAAGTGAAAAAAAAAAAAAAAAAATAAAAAAAAAAAAAAAAAAAAAAAGGCTTTTGCAGCATGAGACAAGGCTCAAGTAGTGCCATCAGGCTTTACTAGCAAATTAAGTGCGCACAAACTAAATCAGTCTTGACTGGTACTTTCAGCCTGAGCTTGAAAATCCAACCTCAACTAGCACAGTTACCCATACCCTATGGTCTAAACATTTCTGTTTGGTCATTAAAGGATAACAACTGTTCATTGGAGATTCATATTTCACATTAAATACATAATAAACAACTTGCAAAAATAATTCCATTTTACCACAAAAACAGGGGTTATACCAATTATTCTTGAATCTGTGCTTACCATCAGGACATGTTGACATTTGTGAATGGCTGTGCCTCCTTAACTATCTCTTAATCTCTTAACAGATTATTCCAAATTTCATACTTAAAAAAAAAAATCAGGACCCCTTTGAATGTCAGTGGATGCACAAACCATTGGCAAGAATGGGAAAATCATCGTTCATCCCAGAAAAATCTGTTTTTGGTCAAGAGTTATAATCCCTTTAAGCTGATATTGAAAATAAATAGATGAAAACTTTCACAAACAGTGAAAAAATTGATAATTTATAAAACATCAGCCATCAGTTTAATTTTAAATGTATGATCCCAATCTAATTTTGATGATATTTTGTGCACAAAGCAAGCAAACTTAAGAATACCATAAAACATTCCACACACCTAAAAAAAAAAAACATGGATCAAAAAAGTAAATATGAACTGGTTATCTGGGAAAATAAATTTCTCATTTGCCAAAAGCAGCCAATACCTTCAAAAACTCCATGGCTACTGTTGATCTTTCTTTCATTTCTATTTTCTTGTTCTCTTCAGTTAACCAAGAGAAAAGCTTATCACATTTCTCTTGGAGATCATTGATTTCTGCCTCAGTGTCAACCGAACCCTCTGCCTGGTAGAGAATAGTCTTCACTTTTGACCTAATTCCTTTCAACAGGGTTTCATGATTTTTTAATGTAGATTTTATGTTTGTGCCAGTGGCAGAGCTCTTTGGCACTCCAGATTTTTTGTTTGCTGCCCATTTTTTCTTCGTTGGTGACTTCACACCAGCAGTCTCATGGTTCGAGACCTCTAC